TGGATATTTGACTGTTGGATATTTGAGTGTGGAGATCAAGGGAGAAATGTAAATCTGATAATAAGCACATATATAGATGGCATTTAAATTAAATCCAGGGTTAAGGGAGAAAATGAGCTAAAACAAACAAACAAATACAAATTAAATCCAGGGGACTGAATGAGACCACTTAGGGAGAAAGTTTAAATGGCAAAGACAAACGTGACAAGCTCTGACCCCTGAGGCACTCCAATGCTTGTAGTTGAACTGAGGAAGATGTAGTAGAACTAATAAGAAGGAAAAGTTGGTTAGGTAGCACAAAAACCAGGAAAGCATGATACCCTGAAGTAAGTATCACTGGGGAGTAGATTAGTCAACTCAGTCAAGCTACTCAGGTCAAGTTACTCATCATAGGACACTATGAATACATAAAGGTACACTGGATTTTCAAAGGAAGTATATTATATGAACATAAAGCTCCAGTTTTAAAAATAATATCCCCCCACCTCCATTTTAAGGGAAACATGCTTAATAAAGAAAATCTGGAAAAATACAGGAGTAGAAAGGGGTAAAAAATAATCCTAGGAAATCTCTCATTAAGATTTTTAGGCTGGGCTCCGTGGCTCAAGCCTGTAATCCTAGGACTTTGGGAGGCTGAGATGGGTGAATCACCTAAGGTCAGGAGTTCAAGACCAGCCTGGCCAGCATGGTGAAACCCCATGTCTACTAAAAATACAAAAATTAGCCAGGCATGTGATGGTGGGGGCCTGTAATCCCAGCTACTTGGGAGGCTGAAGCAGGAGAATCGTTTGAACCTGGGAGGCAGAGGTTGCAGTGAGCCAAGATCGTGCCATGCACTCTAGCCTGAGTGACAGAGCAAGACTCAGTCTCAAAAAAAGAAAGAAAAAAAAAAAAAAAAAAAAACACAGATTTTTAGTACTTCTCTTTGTAATCTTTCGTGATTTACAGGGGTTTGGCTTTTGTTTTTTAACTAGTCTAATTATATGGCATATGTCATTTTATACCTTGCTTCTTTTACTTTCTCATATTGCTATACATCATTCTTTAAAACATTTTATCAGCCAGGCACAGTGGCTCATACCTGTAACCCCACCACTTTAGGAGGCTGAGGCAGGCGGATCACCTGAGGTCAGGAGTTTGAGACCAGCCTGCCCAACATGGCAAAACCCCGTCTCTACTAAAAATACAAAAAAAATTAGCTGGGCATGATGGTGGGTGCCTGTAATCCCAGCTACTCAGGAGGCTGAGGCAGGAGAATCACTTGAACCCAGGAGGTGGAGGTTGCAGTGAGCCAAGATCGTGTCATGCACTCCAGCCTAAGTGACAGAGCAACTGTACTCCAGCCTGGACAACAAGAGTGAAACTCCGTCTCAGAAAAAAACAAAATAAAACATTTTATTGAGAATGTAATAACAGTTACCATTTACTGATTACTTGTGATGCGTCAGACACTACATGAAGGCTCTACTAATGTACTGCATTTAATCTTCACAACAACCCACTAGGCAGTTACTGCTATTATATCAAATTTATAGGTGAAGAAATAGATTAAGTAACTTGCCCAATGTAAGATCAACATTTGGTTTTCTGTGTTTTTAATAACATACTGCCTAGATAACAGTATTTATTTCATACCCTATTGTGAGAAATTGGGGTGTCTAGCTTTTTAAAATTGTAACTACCACTTTGGTGAGCATCTTTGAACATAAGCTTCTTATGAATTTAGAATTCTTTCCTTAGAATAGATTCCTGGAAACAGAATTACCGGATCAAAGAAGAATTTTTAAGATTTCTAATACTTACTATCAAATTGCTTCCCAAAATGTTTATCCAAATATATTTTACCACAAAAAAAAAGAGTACTTTGAAAATCTACTTCAATCTAAAACAGAAGGAATAGAAAAACAGTAGAGGGGGTGAAAATAGGACTGTAAAAACGTAGTAAATGGCCACCAGAGGGCAACCTTATCACAGCACTGTTGAAAATAGACACTTGACAAGAGTGGTTTTATATAAAGCTTGTAATTTTAAATAAAGTATTTGCACTCCTTCATGTTGGATTCCACTTTTATTATAATTCCAAGCAAAGAAACCATTTATTTCTCTCACTACTAGCTGCTTTTAGAAACCATAACCATGAAAAAGAATTATTTTGCCTTAAATTATCTCCAGATCAAGGACAGGTCAGCACTTACATGACAGCAAAGAGAGTGGCCTCATTGCTGTAAGAAAAATTAAAACTGAGAATCAGCAATGTAGACTGCTTTTTGGTACTGTAAAAGATCTAGGGAGTAATTTTAATCAGCTCAATATAATGAAGTATTCCTATTGTTACCCAGTACTGAAAATCATTTTTCCTAGGCTGGGCACGGTGGCTCAAGTCTGTAATCCCAGCACTTTGGGAGGCCGAGACAGGCAGATCACGAGGTCAGGAGATCGAGACCATCCTGCCTAACCCAGTGAAACTCCGTCTCTACTAAAAAATACAAAAAACTAGCCGGGCGAGGTGGCGGGTGCCTATAGTCCCAGCTACTCGGGAGGCTGAGGCAGGAGAATGGCGTAAACCTGGGAGGCGGAGCTTGCAGTGACCCGAGATCCGGCCACTGCACTCCAGCCTGGGGGACAGAGCGACACTCGTCTCAAAAAAAAAAAAAAAAAAAAAATCATTTTTCCTCTGTATGTCTTTCCATTCATTTGTTCATTTATTTGATAAAAATTTAGTGAGTGGTTACTATATGCTAAAGCTCCATGCTAGAGATTGTGTATACAATGGTGAAAAAAAAACTGTTCTTGCTCTCATGAGTGAGCCATATGTGACTCAGAACCACAAATAAATATATAATTACAAACTGTGAAAAGTGCTATGAAAAAAATACAAGTATATGTGAGAGCATATAATAGGGACATTACCATTAAGCCTAGAGCATCAGGAAATGTTTCCTGATGAAGTGGCCTTTAATTGATGACCCGAGGGAAGAATATGATTTAATAAGGCAGAGAGGTCAAGGATGGAGGTACAGGTGGATTAGAAAAACCATTCTTGGCAGAGGAAAGATCATATATGAGAACCCTGGAAGCAGGGAACATGCCTTGTTTTAGAAATCAGTGTGACTGGATCACAGATGTAAAGAAAAAGAACACCAGAAGATAAAACTGGCAAATAGGCAGGGACAAGATCACATAAAAGAAAAAAAAAAATACACTTTCTTCTAAATCAATTTGTTTCACTATAGAGTATTTGAATGAAGAATAAACTTTCAACCGATTTTTCCAGGGTACTTTCAACTTCAAATATTTTGCCACCCTGTTCTCTTAAAAACACTTGTCAGACTAGTGTGTCCTGATTTTTTTGTTTGTTTGCTTGGGAAAAAAAAATGTTTCCAAGGAAGGATACTTAATCCTCACCTTTAGGAAAACTAAGATCAGAAGTTAATTGGTTTTAGTTTTTAATAGTTTGACTAAGTTTGCCTAAATGTGGTTTTCTTTGTTTTTATACTGCTTAGGGTTTGCTGAGCTTTCTGAATCTGTGGGTTGATGCCTTTAATCAATTTGGAAAATTCCTGGCCATTTTCTCTTCAGATATTACTGTGACCCAATATCTCTTTCCTCTCTTTTTAGCTCTCCAATTACATTTATGCTAAACCTTTTGGCTGTGTCCCACATCTTCCCTGCTCTGTTCTTCCCATTATATTTTCTCGAAATGCTTCAGTTTGGATGTTTTTAACTGTACTGTATTCAAGTCTACTAACTTTGTCTTCACTGTGTATAATTTACTGTTAGATTAATGCAATGAGTTATTAATTCACATGTTGTATTTTTCAGTTCTAGTTTGTTCATTTGATTTTTTAGATTCCAATTTCTATTGAAATTTTGCCTCTCTTCACCTATTTTGTCTGATTTTCCCTCTGTTGTATGAAAATACGAATTTTAGTTAAGTCTTTCCATGCTAACTCTAACATCTAGATCACCTAAGGGCCTGCTTCCATTGTTCATTTTTTTCTCTTTGGTACTGGTCACATTTTTCTGTCTTTGCATTGTCTAGTATTTTTTACTGTATGCCGGACACAGTATATAAAAGAATCAGAGAGGGCTCCCCTTTTATCGATTAGGCAGATATAATGAGAGAATTACTTCAATCCAATTGGAAGTTGAGGCGGCCTGAAGGTGGACTACAATTTTAATATGAGTGAATCAACTTCTGATTCCTTACTATTTCTTGGTCATGGCCCTCTAAAGCTTTTGATTGAGAGCCCAGCAAGCCTGTGTCTCCTTGGCCCTAAAAGACTGTGCGAGATCTGTATCGGCCTTTGGTAATTTGAGCCTAGGTCCCACTGCATGCACCTTCAGAGTCTGAGAACATCTTGAGGGGGAGATAATTGAATGTCATAGCAGGCCCTCTCTTTCTAAAGGGATTTTGTCTCCTCAGCACAAGACTGAAAGAGAAAGAGATTTTTTTCTACCTTTCTGGCCCAGCCTTCCATCTTCTGCATAGTCGCTAATATCCTGTGGAAAAGCTGGCCTTGTGTTTAGGGATCCTCTTGTTTCCAACCATTATGCAAGCCTTAAATGACTGCCAAAAACATTTCTTGTATCTCTTTCCTAAAGAAGAATTCCTTTGCATGGATCTAGCTCATTCTTTGCCTTTGCTCGGAATCAGCAAATGTCCCCTGGAAAGACAATGGCTGGTGATCATCAGTTTACCTAGGCAGAGTTCCAACCTTTCTGGAATTGTAGTTCCTATAGTTCTCCTTGTCTCCATAGGTGTGTGTATACATACATATATATATACATATATATATATATATATATATTTTTTTGAAATTTACATACTTTTTCAAATTTGTTGTAGCAGGAGTTTGGCTTGCTGTGATCTATTACATCCTACTTAGAAGATAAAGGCCCTTCCAAACTATTTCAGAAGAATCAACCTATAGCTGAAAGATTTCCAAATGAAAAGAACAGTGGAATAATTACATGACAAAGTTAAGGAAAGTATGTACCTGTGAGGGCATCACAACTGGCAGACCGATTATTGCACTGGCAGGGCAAGCAGCCATTCTTACTAAAGCCATAATATCCATCTTGGCATCGGTCACATGTAGAGCCAATGACACCCACTTTGCACTGGCATTTCCCAGAACTGCAAATAAAAGCAAAGACAATGAATAAAAGTAAATCAGTTTAAAAATTGTATTGCCTAACATCCCAGAAGGGAAAGAAAGCCCAGCTCATGTAAATCATATATACTTACCATATCTCAAAGCCTTGTGTCCAAAGAAATCACCTTTCAAATTCTGTATTGCTATTAAAAGCTGCCTAGTGTATTGCATAATGCCATTTCTTAGCTAACAAATAATTTTACAGAAAATTTAAAATGGAGGCATTTGAAAGCAGGAGTAATAATTATGATGATGATCATGATAAAAACAATGAGCTATCACTTATTGAGGGCTTATGTAAATAAATATATTTTTTCTCTAATCCTCAAGGTAGTTCTACTTGGTGAGGGTCATAATACTTATTTTACTACCGAGAGAATTCAGATAAAGTTACCGTCCTCAGCTAGTAAGTCAAGTCTATTCACACAAAGCCAGACTTTTCTCTACCATACTATCTACTCCTAAGATTGACTCTAAATTGGTACAAGAAATTTGTCTGCCAAATAACTTGATATTCCTTAGGTATCAAGCTTCATTCTGTAGATCCAAAGCATTACAGTTCACCATCTATATAGGTCCTGACTGTAGTGATGGTGTTTATGCCCTGTCCAGAATAAATCTTGGTCTCTTTTCTCACTGCAAGTAAATTTCAGGTCTTTAACAAAAGCTGAGAAATCTTATTGCTTAAAGAGAAGCTACAGCCTAACAAAGTCAAAGGTTCTCAGAGATATAAGCCCAAATATTTTGATGTTTAAAGCTTAATTAAAATTTGTACTGATCATAGTATAGATGTTTTTAAAAATGCAACAAAAATTTACATTATCTAATTTACACTATCAAACATAAATCTATGAATCTTAAGTAATTTAGCAAAGAAAAAAGAAAAGAAGCCACACACATATACACAGTCTTACACAAGAATATCCCAAGGCACTTAAAGATCTAGCAAATAAAATCTGTATTCATAAAAAATAAAATTCAGGAATATTTTATGACTCAATAAGAAGGAACCAATCAATCGAAGCCCCTCTACACTATCAGAAAATTATAAAGAACATAAAGTACCTTTCAAAGAATGGCTTACAACACTTCATTATTTCCAAGGCTTTTAAAATGTTAATCAAAATATGCTTACTCCTCATTCCTCTAAATACATTTATTCAGTATACAAAAGGATAAACAGTTACTTTCAATGATGGTGTTTGCCTAACCCACAACCTATAAGAAGAAAAAGGTATTCCTTTTGAACACAAAATCACTTAATAATATTGTGTAACCATAATATAGCCAATGTTCCCAAAGCAGTCGCTATTCCTAAAGTGAGTTTTCCCTTCATAATTCTTGGGACACTAAAAGACTTTCTACCTGGAGGATCTGCTCCTTAATTGCTGATTTAAAAAAAAATCATGCGTGACTTAATGAATCCTGATAAAGTAGTTGTCTGAGTGTACATATCATGCTTTATTTTTTCCTGGGTGTTTTTTTTTTTTTTGGTTTTTGTTTTTCGTTTTTTTTTTTTTTTTTTGAGAGGGTCTCATTTAGTCCCCTAGGCAGCAGTGGTGCGATTTCGGCTCACTGCGGCCTCAACCTCCTGGGTTCAGGTGGTCCTTCTGCCTCAGCCCCCCAAGTAGCTGGGACTACAGGTATGCGCCACTATATCCGGCTAATTTTTGTATTTTTTGTGGAGACAGGGTTTTCCCATGTTGCCCAGGCTGGTCTCAAACTCTGGAGCTCAAGCAATCCACCTGCCTCGGCCTCCCAAAGTGCTGGCATTACAGGTATGACACATCACGCATGGCCAGATTTTAAAACAAGGGAAAAAAAAAGGTGCTTTTCTCTCTTTTAAAAGAAAATATAGGTCGGGCGTGGTGACTCATAGCCTTTATCCCAGCACTTTGGGAGGCTGAGGCAGGTGGATCACTTGAGGTCAGGAGTTCAAGACCAGTGACCAGCCTGGCCAACATGGTGAAACCCCATCTCTACTAAAAATACAAAAATTAGTCAGTGTGGTGGCGTGTGCCTGTAGTTTCAGCTACCCGGGAGGCTGAAGCAGAAGAATTGCTTGAACTCGGGAGATGGAAGGTGCAGTGAGCCAAGATCATATCACTGCACTCCAGCTTGGGTGACAGAGTGAGACTCCGTCTAAAAAAAAAAAAAAAAAAAAAAAAAAAAATGAAGTGAGGAATTTTGGTTGTGAGGTTGCACTACTAGTGCTTTTGCATCATGTTATTCATGGTCCAAGGCCAATTTCTGCATGTATAAGAATTAAATTTATCAGGCATGGTGGCACATGCCTATAGTGCCAGCTACTCAGGAGGCTGAGGCAGCAAGCTGAGGCAGGAAGATCACTTGACACCAGGAGTTCTAGGCTGCACGAACCACTCCAACTACAGTTAAACAGGAATAAACAGCTGGGTCCACTTATCTCAAATTAAACCTATCTCTCATAAAGTCCCATAGGCCAACGAAACACAGGAGACTAATCCTGCAACCACCCAATGGGTTCACCTTGCCCACTGCCTAGACAGAGCTGATTTATCAAGATGGGGGAATTGCAATAGAGAAAGAGTAATTCATGCAGAGCCAGCTGTGCAGGAGACCGGAGCTTTATTATTACTCAAATCAGTTTCCCTAAGTATTCAGGGATTAGAGTTTTTAAGGACGACTTGGTAGGTGGGGTGAAGTCAGGGAGCCAGAAGTGCTGACTGGTTAGGCAGGAGATGACATAGGGAATTGAAGCCATCCTCTTGAGCTGAGTGTGCCATGATCGTGCCTGTGACGATCCAGCCTGAGCAACACAGGGAGACTCTTCTCTCAAAAAAAGCTTTAAATCAGCTGGGCACAGTGGCTCATGCCTGTAATCCCAGCACTTTGGGAGGCCAAGGCAAGTGGATCACGAGGTCAGGAGTTCGAGATCAGCCTGGCCAACATAGGGAAACCTCATCTCTACTAAAAATACGAAAATTAGCAGGGCATAGTGGCATACGCCCGTAGTCCCAGCTACTCGGGAGGATGAGGCAGGAGAATTGCTTGAACCTGTGAGGTAGAGGTTGTGGTGAGCCAAGACTGCACCACTGAACTCCAGCCTGGGTGACAGCGAGACTCTGTCTCACAAAAAAAAAAAAAAGAAAAAAGAAAGAAAAGAAATCACTCAGCAAATATAAAGCTTTGCCTGTGTGGCTTCTTTCATAGAATAAAGACTTTACAACACTCCCTTTCATGGTCTCTGTTAAAGACTTGAATGCTTTCTGAAGCAAAGGTCAATGATATAAATGCAATGAAACCAAAAAAAGAAAAAAAAAAGGCTATTAACAGACCGCTTATGCTTATCCATAGATTTGAAATGAAAGAACCAAATCCCACAGCTTCATAACTGGAGAATAAAGGTATAGAACTGGATTTTAAATAGAAATCAGACATCTATACTATTGAGATCAGCTAACAATTAATTTAAGATAAAATTAGCTAATCTGGTCTTAATGACATGTTGCTAGTAAAGATAGCACAAAAATTATATCAGAAAAAAGAATATAGAATTATTCATAAAGGAAGCATAAGCACTGTGGAGTTATGTTGCATTAACTATGCAATACTACACATTTCTTAAATTATCCCAAAAGGGATTCTCAGATTTTCTTGTGGTAGTAATGCTCAATTATGGAATTTACATACTCATGGGTGTGAACAACTCCTGCAAGGTTTTAACACTTTAGAAAAAAGCATTTTTTAAGTGTATATAAATAATAATATATTTTACAACACTAACAGTCATTACTTTTTCAAAAGAAAATTCTATGTATATTTTTAGGTATCACATTATCAATTTTAACTCAAGCAGTTACAGAATAACTTAAAAATTATACATAGTTCTTCCCTTTTTCTTTTTTTTGAGATGGAGTCTTGCTCTGTCGCCCAGGCTGGAGTGGTGCAGTGGCACGATCTCGGCTTACTGCAACCTCCGCCTCCCAGGTTCAAGCGATTCTCCTGCCTCAGCCTCCCAAGTAGCTGGGACTACAACAGGCAACCACTACCACGCCCAGCTAATTTTTGTATTTTTAGTAGAGACAGAGTTTTGTCATGTTGGCCAGGCTGGTCTTAAACTCGTGACCTCCAGTGATCCACCCACCTGGGCCTCCCGAAGTGCTGGAATTACAGGCATGAGACACTATGCCCAGCCCATAATTAATTAGAGAAAATTAATTCATTTGTGGTCATTTGGGAACTTTGCTTTTCCCCTTTCCTTCTTCCTCAGACAGCATGCATGTTGACACTCTGACATGAAGAGAATAAGAAACACAATAAAGAGATAATGAAATGTATCAATTTTCTTCTTCCTCCACTTTTAAAAATGAACTTAAAAATAACTTTTTAAAGCTATTTTTAAATAACTAAAAAACAATTTAGTTTGGGAGGAGGCTCAAACTACTAATTAAAATAGTCTGAAATCAGTAATAGCAAACTGCTGATTATAAACTCTCTCAATATATTAAAATCAAACTTTAAAAGGTAGCTAGAAAAAGTTTTTCCAGGCCGGGCGCGGTGGCTCAAGCCTGTAATCCCAGCACTTTGGGAGGCCGAGACGGGCGTATCACGAGGTCAGGAGATCGAGACCATCCTGGCTAACACGGTGAAACTCCGTCTCTACTAAAAAATACAAAAAACTAGCCGGGCGAGGTGGCGGGCGCCTGTAGTCCCAGCTACTCGGGAGGCTGAGGCAGGAGAATGGCGGGAACCCGGGAGGCGGAGCTTGCAGTGAGCTGAGATCCGGCCACAGCACTCCAGCCTGGGCGACAGAGCCAGACTCAGTCTCAAAAAAAAAAAAAAAGAAAAAAAAAAAGAAAAAGTTTTTCCGACTAGAAAAAGGAAAAATAAAATGAAAAGTTATTAAAAATTCTTAATTTCATGTCTGGGTCATGGTTTTGTAGAGGTAAGAAAATAATAGTTTCTCCTCTTTTGTTAAAAGAAATTTAACAATTGGACT